CCGGGGGGGGGAGCCGCGACGGGTGCGGAGGCCCAGTGCGCGCTTGATTCTGCTGTTGCCGATCATAATGCCGGTTCCGGGGTTGGCTGCGGGGCTTCCTCCTTCCGGTGATGGCTGCTGGTGGCTTGAAGGGTAGAAGGACAGGGGATTTCTGCCGCCGAAGCCCGGTGAGGAGCGGCACGAGGCGAAGAAGAGCTCGTAAGCGGTTTCGCGGAGCTCGTCGCGGTCGACGGCTTCGATGCGGCCGAAGGGCCATTCGAGATCGGCATCGCCTCCGTCGGAGTCATGCGTGCCGGAGAGGGTGAAGTCGGAGAAGGAGGAAGCGGAGGGATGATGGTGGGCCATGCCGGGCTGTGCGCTGCGGCCGCCGGCGGAGGAGAGAGGCTACCTTGTTGGGAGGACGGGAATAGATGGATGTGGGGCCCACCGCGTCTTTCTGTAGAATTACGCCCGCTGTATTGGTAGATTATACTGCGAACGGTTTCTTTTTTTTTTATTTTTTTTTTATAATGATTTTCTTAAGCTGTTTCTGTTTTATGTGCTGGCTGGAAAAACAACTAAATTTTTTCTTAGGTGGAGAACTTTTGTAACCGCTGGAGATTGCGAAGGAGGAGGAGACAATGGCTAGGCCTGTGAATTCAGCTCCAATGTCCTTAATCTTTCAAAAAATTAGTTTAAATTTTTGTTCGGATCAAGATCAAATCGAAACCGAACTATGAGTCCAAATTTTGAATTGAATTTTTCGAGCTGATTTTGAGTGATGCATGAATCGGCTCGAATCCAAATAACACAATTTGAGCGAGCTTGTTTTGATTTTCAGCCGAATCGAGTTCGATTGAATTTTGAATTTTGATTCAGCTCGGCTCGATATGGAACATAATGAACCACATTAAATCTATTCGAGCTAATTTCAAGATAGAATCGTTAACAGCCATAGTAATGTCTGAACCTAGTTTGGTTGTGAGCGGTCCGAATCTAATCTAAGCTTAGCTTAAACTTATTCCGTTGATTTTGAATTAAGCTTGATTATAATTTAATCTGATTAAATTTTTATTTTTATTTAATTTAATTTGAGTCAAGTTTTGACAACCTAGAAAAGTTGTGATCATAAAATGTAATATTTTTTAATTAAATTATAGATGATTGTTTAATTATGTAAGGCAGCCAGTCAATGCATCGATTTTTTATGAGACAGTTCTTCAAAATGAAAAGCATTGTTTGAAATGGTATTTTGGAGCAGCTTAAATGTTTCTTTTTCATGATCAGAATACTTTCACATATACATACATACATATTGATGTGTCATCAAAAAAAAATTTATCATCAAGCACGTACCTTAATTTGTTTTATGAAAAAAAATTTAAATTTAAATTCAAGATCATTCGAGCATCAATTTTAATAAATTTATTGTCAAAATACGCGTATAAACAAAAACAAAACAATAATTATTGAAGCTTAAAGTGATATAATTCGAGTTCAAATGAGCCCAAAGCAAATATTTGATGTATAGTCAATAAATTTGGTGGGCTAATTGGATAATCAAATGATCCCAAAATTTGACTTTTTTTTTTTTTTTATCAAATCAAGTGTTTCAACGAGAGGAATTCAACTAGCTCAAACTTATTCAATTTTGAGGTTGTTAAGGCCATTGAATGCTGAAAATGTTACTTGCAATCAAGAGGATAAATATAGACTATTTGATTGAGTGTTTTGATATCCTAGCTAAATTCACTAAACCATTCCTCTAAAAAATTATAAATGCAGTTTGAAAAGGAGAGAAAAATGTATAGAGATGTGCCATAAGAGGTATTTTATATGGTTTCAACAATCTTTATTATATTTAATGATCTTCTACTTATAATAGGTTAGGAATAGTGTCAAATGACAATGACAACCTTGACACTTTTTAATCGGCCACTTCTCAATTGACCAGCTTCATGTCGTGCGATCGTTAAATATCTTGTGGATTGTCCTCTTGTCGGTTTGCCTTTACCTTGGTTGTTTCCAATTCAGTCAATCCTTGTTTCGCCTAGCTTCTGGATCATTTTGACTATTTGATTGATATTCAACCTCTTGTTCTGAAGTTCTCTAGGTCGGTTGACCCTTGACCGCCCGCTCTAACAATCTTCAACCTCTGGTTCAATCATTCTCTTTGTTGGTTGAGCGTTAGTTGGTTGCCCGACCAGTCTCTGGCCTCTGGTTTATGCATCCATTGGGTTGATTTACCCTTGACCCATTGGTCGATTGATATTCGACCCTTGGGATCAATTTTGCCCTTAGCGGGTTGCTCTATTAATACTCATTCTCTAGTTCGGTTGTTCTCAAGATTTCTTTCTTTATTCACATATAGCACTAACCAATGAAACATGTTCCACTCTACACTATTTGATACACAAAAAATCTAGTCTAAAATATTTTGATTGTACATATTTTAATTCCCTAATTCTCTTATATATTAGAAGGAGAAATTATGATAGACGAGATATAAATATTATAAATGGTTATTTATCATTAAATGAATTCAAATCCCTTAATTTATGTGTGATAGATTGTTATTGATAAGATGTAAGCATCTTTTAGAGTTTACCTGTCTCATACTCCTTCTCAGCTCCACACAAACTCCTGCTTTACATTTTCTTCGTTGGTTACTCTCTCAGTGGTCCACAACACATACAGCTCCCAACTCTAGTCTCTGTGGCCTACGGATGCTATCATAGTTCATTTATGTAGCTCCCAACTTCAATCAATCTCTATCGTCTATAGACGTTATCACAGCTCATGCAATTTCCAATTTCGGCTCCTGTTACCTACAGACGTTATCACAAACTCGCCACTATGACATATGTGATCGGCTACGGCTTGTCACGTACGTGGTTCACAGCTCATACAGCTCTCTACTACGGTTCGTGTGGCTAATCGATGCTTCCGAAACAGTCATCTACGACCTATATAGCTAACTACTACCATGACTTCTAACCACAACCTCTATGAGAAGCTGGCGCTACAACCACTATCTATATATAACATTCACGATAATCAACAACCTACATAGCAATCGACTATCGTCTTCACGGGCCATTATGATTATTTCTGGTAAAATACTGTTTTACATCAATTTTGTAATTAAATAATCTCTAACTCAAGAGAAAACTGAGCATATATACTCACAATTATATAGTTGATTACTTCAACTGAGCCCTATAATTTTTTTCTCCTTACATGATTTTTTGCATAAAAATCGAAATATCTCTTATCACTCACTTTAATTCTCCTAGAATATATTAGATCTTCATACAATACTCAAATACAATACAACCACCCTCTTCTCATGAACTTTTAGGCAGGCAAGAAATATAATTGTATATAAAATATTATGCGCATAATAAACAGTACACAGCCATCTACATAATATAATTATATGCAGGCTCGTGTGCTGCTTCACCACGTGACCTGAATGCTGAAGCTGTGCATGCCATAATTATCAGACTCCGCTGCTCCACAGAAGTGAATGAAGTGAAACAGAAATTACAGTATAAACATGAACTATTCATTGCAACTTTCCACATGGCCAGTTGACGAAGGACATGTTTAAAGCTAACATCTATTTAATTAAGCGCAGACATGCAAACATGAATTCTGCTGTTACGTTGGGAGCCGCGAAGTGTTATTAATGATATAAGCAGGTTTTAAGAACATTGATTAGCTTTCATTAGGGCGGAGACATCATGCCAATAATAACTTTTATTCCAAGTAATCAATCATAGTAAACTTTACTTTTTCTTACATTTATATCACTCAACAACAAATCAACGATACCACTTGTAATTTATAAAAAAAAAAAAAAGTAAAATACATATTTTCATGTTGTATATTCAAAAATAATTTGCATAAATAAATCTCGAGACAATCTAAACTGTATGGATAAAAAAAATAGATGATGAAAAGTTACAAAACATCATGAATCTGACCAACCACCTCCAATGACGCGATCAAAAAAACTAGAGTATGCTATATTCCTCTTTAAAATAAGGGTGATTGTGTAATTTTATATTTTTTTATTCGAACAATGTATTAAAGGGAGACTTTTTAGAGGGTTCTCTTCTCTTGTAACCTAAATATTCAATAAAATAACAAGGTATGCTTAAGAGCACCCTTTTTGTCCCCTAGGGAGCAAATGATCTTGATGTTCTCTCTCCCTCTTTCTCTCTCTCGCTCTCTCTCGTCCTTTCTGGTGTGATCTACCGGACAATTTTGAATTCAAGAATTCAACACGTACATATGAATAATTGAATATATGTAAATATGTAAATATATAAGAATTGAGTGGTATGCATCTAGATCTTCCCTGCAATAATAATCCAAGGTAGAAGCAGATTCTGTGTGTAATTCAAGATCGGACAAATTTTAAAACTAATGCTTTATTAATATATATTGAGGATTTTGATAGTCCAAAAAAAAAAATTAAGAACTAAGTATTATAGAACAACAGACAGACCAATCCACAACGAACGGGATTGTCGTGCGGCCATGCACCTCAACCGAATGACACGTACCTCGGAAGGCACAATTGCCACTTGCCGGTCATCTCAATTGACTGACGTCAAGCCAATCGGTAAGCCAATCACTATCATAATTGAAATTCAAATTGTAATGCAAATATAACATGAAATCCCTCAAATAATTAGTGTTTTATCTATATTTAGAAATGTTTCCATAACTGTTATCTCATTTCTTTAATTGTATAAAATACATCCTATAATTAAGGAGTTAAAAAATATGAATAAGGGGACCTCTCCCTCAAATATTACAACAATGAATTCCAGGCTTACTCTACTCTCTCTCTCTCCTCCTCTCCTTCATCAACATCTAACTCTTAGGGCGTGATTCACATAGGACAAATTAAGATCCAACATCCTAAAAGGTAGTGTAGTGAGCGTGGAACATGCTGTAGAAGAGAAGCAGGAAAGACTACGAAGGAGAAAGCTCCCAAAGAAAAATAGTGTGCATGGAACATGATAAAGAGTCTGTGTGACCAGACGCGCACACACAAGTCCAGGGGTTGCAGAGCCAAATGACGGTCACGATGGAACAAGTAGATGTCCTTCGGGTAGCAATTACCCAAATGAACAACCAGGTGCCTCATCTGGAGGCAGAATCTCAGGGGATCCGCCCTTAAAGACCCCCACTGACGAACCTGTTTGTCCTACACAACCAAATCAACAACTAGTGAATGGAGGGACAAGGTGAGTCCTAACACAGTCACACGGTGCATCTGCACGTGCTGATAGACAATGGGAGGAGCGGATGCGAGTACTGTCCGGCCGCTCGCGAGGCGAGCTTTTACTCGCCAAATAAAAGAGGTGGTACTCCGCCCAAGCTAAGGATCCTGCGTCTAGATCCTTTCAAAGGGAAGACCGATCCCATAGACCACATGACGTCGTTCGAGCTATCGGTCCGTCTTCTTTAGGTTGACGACCCCATACAATGTCTTCTCTTCCTAACCTCCAAATCTTT